CATGGAAGCACCAGCCCTTGAGATTCTTTGGTGTAAAAAAAAAATTCAGGTGGGGCGTGGTTGATGACCCTCCTCCTTTAAGGCAACTCGATATGAATTGTTGTCTTGGAGCTTCCTTCACTTGGTGTGCTGGATGGCACCATCTTCCCCTCTCTCACTTGAAAACACTCTTCCTCAAGGTCATTACACAGTCTTTCTTTAGAAAAAAACTCTTATCCTCTTTATATATATATATCTGGAAATAGGTGATGAGTATTGATTGTTGCTAGACCAATTTTGATATTTTTTTTAGTAAGTGTAGTATGGCTACATTTAGTACCTCTTTTTAGAGTGTAAGAGTATTGATCAGTACTCTCGGATTTGGGGCTACAACCTAGATTTAAAACAACAGGAATGATTCCTTTCAAGTGCCATTACATTTGATCATGATAAATTGAGAAAGTCCATATGGAGATTAGTACAGTTCAGTTTTGAAACCACTTTAACATGAATTGTGTCTCCTTGAAAACAATATAATAGTTTATGAGTAATATCCATAATAGCTTTCAAAATATAGGTTTCCCTCTTCCTTATTTTTATCAAGGGCTTTTGTTTCCCCATTATGATCATTCATGCATCATGTAGGGGAAGAAACATCAAGCCTCTACGTACCCAACCACTATCTCCCTTCTCAGGGAAGCCAAATCCCGTGTGGCCCTCAACCCAGATCCTAATACTGCCATGTAGCTATCCCTCCCAAGCTACAGTTAGAAATAAAAAATAAATAAATAAATAAATAAATAAAGTACAAACAGCTCCAGTTATTGTTTTAAGAGACCCAGAGGAAAAGATTAAGCATGCTTTCTTGTTGTTTAGATGGTTATCTGAGGGGAACATAGCACAACTGGAACATGGAAGTAAGAATGTTAACTAAAATATCAGTGAAAGGAATGCTTTCTAAGTGTTACTCTTTTTGCTGTTAAGAATATTGTTCATGGGATGCCTGGGTGGCTCAGTCGGTTAAGCGTCTGCCTTCAGCTCAGGTCATGATCCCAGAGTCCTGGGATCGAGTCCTGTATCGGGCTCCTTGCTCGGCGGGGAGCCTATTTCTCCCTCTGCCTGCCACTTCCCCTGCTTGTGCACTGTTTCTCTCTCTCACTCTGACAAATAAATAAAATCTTTAAAAAAATGTGTTTCTTTAAAAAAAGATATTATTCATTAGCATTCAATATATTCATGTTGGTGTACCAAATACATTTCTTTTTTTTTACCTGGCTCTCAGAATACACCTAAGACATAATAGTATTTATTCCCATTGCATAGTCAAAGAAACTAAGGCTCAGAAAGAGTAATTTATTTGCTCAAGGTTGAAAATAAACATAAAGAAAATGACTAAATTGCAGCTCAAACTAAGGTCATAAGATTCCAGAGCTTATGTTTTAGCCACATTCAAATACAAACAAGCATATTTTATCTTCATAATTCATAGAATCAATTTCTGTTTTGTAAATCAGTAGAGTCACCATTAGCCAATTGTCCAATTTAAAAAATGTATTTCTTTGAAATCATACTTTTTAAAGGTTGCTTTATATTATGTCAACTCTGTTACTAGGGTTCATACTGATCTTTGAGGCATATTGCTCATTTAACATAAATTAATTCACTTAATGTTTAACAGATACTACTGATTTCCCACTTTATGCCAGGCATGTAAAGATGAAGAAACAAGGCGTATGGATATTTCAGTTAGTAAACTGTATATTCAGTTTAAAGAATGGACTAAACAAGAGTGTAAACAGAAAAAGCTTTCTTTTTCTCCACCTACTTTATTTCAAATCTCTCTTTGGCCCTGGATATTTTGGGCAGATCTCTTCACTCTCCCAATTTTGTTAGGTATTAAATTTTCTTAACTGGGTAATTAAGACTCACTTCTAACTATTAAGATGTACTGTCAAATACCTCATCAAAACTTTAATATCATCTAGTTCAAAGTTTCTTTTATCTCCCAGTTCTGGGTACAAAACTTAGCCTGACAACTTAAGGTAGAGGAGAGTAGAAATACTGCCTTTGACTCATTTTCCACTTTCTTTTCCTTCCATCTTCCTATAGCTGTAGTGTCCGAGGAGAGGCAAACAGGAAAATTCTATCACCACTGTATTTTTCTTTTGGCTAATAGTGGCTCCTGGCCAAGTGCTAGCTCTTTTGTAGAACAGAACTGTGGGTTATTTGGAGCATTCTTCTCCCACCCCCATCCCAGGACTACTGCACAGTTGACATGAGTGGTACTCTTCCTAGACAATCTCCTATAGCCCTACTCAGCTCCTAATCCACCCCTCACCCCAGCTTCTATCTCTCCACTTTGTGTTGGAGTCAGCTGTCACTCAATTATCCAGTGCCCATTGGTCAAAGGAAAGTCATGCACTTTTCCCACATGGAGAAAATGCAGGTTGTTTCCACTGCCATCCTCTCTCCCGGCCCCTAACTACCATCAAGGGAAGTTCCAGCCTAACTTCCGACTTTGAATTCATTACACAGGAAGTGAACATAAATCTTTATTTGTACAGCTATCTGCCCATAAACTAAAGTCACCACTTCCTATGAAGTTATTCACTATACTTCAGTTTAGTCTGATATTTTCAAAAAGCTGATCATGAAATCAATTTATTTGGTTTGACTAGCATTTCTTATTATGGAATGGAATAAAATAAAATAGAACAAAATTCAGAATAGAACAGAACAGAATATGAGGCTCCTGGGTGGCTCAGTCGTTAAGCATCTACCTTCGGCTCAGGTCACGATCCCAGGGTCCTGGGATTGAGCTC